CCCCGGCCACTTTCCACGTTGTATGGTTAGTATCTTTTCGGATTATGTTGAAAATATAATTGAGGTTTTATGGATGATTTCACGGTACATGGCAACTCTTTTCAAGAATGTTTGACTAATCTCACAAAATTTTAAAAGATGCATTGAAACAAACTTGGTTTTGAATTTTGAGAAATGTCATTTCATGGTGAGTCAAGGTCTCATTTTGGGTCACATTGTGTCTAAAAAAGGAATTGAGGTAGATAAGGCCAAAATTGATGTTATTCAAAGCTTACCTTACCCGACTTGTGTTCGGGAAGTTCGTTCTTTTTTGGGCCATGCAGGTTTCTATACCGAAGGTTCATCAAGGATTTTTCAAAGATAACAAGACCAATGTGCCAACTCTTGCAAAAGGAGGTCGATTTTGAGTTCAATGAGGCGTGCAAAGAAGCTTTTGACAAGCTCAAAGAGTTGCTTACATCCGCTCCCATCATGCAAGCACCAAATTGGGATCTCCCTTTTGAGATCATGTGTGATGCAAGCAACTATGCGATTGGCGCCGTTTTGGGTCAAAAGAATGGGAGGGCCTCCCATGTGATCTATTATGCATCAAGGACACTAGACAATGCCCAAAGCAACTACTCTACCACGGAGAAGGAGCTATTGGCCATAGTGTTCGCCTTGGAGAAATTTAGACAATACCTACTTGATACCAAGGTCATAGTGTATTCGGATCACACAGCTCTTAAGTACTTGATGTCGAAGAAAGATGCAAAGCCGAGACTCATCCGGTGGATCCTACTGTTACAAGAATTTGACTTGGAAATCCGGGACAAGAGCGGATGCGAGAACCTCGTTGCCGATCATCTAAGTCGGATCACTTCAAATGAAACTCCTCTCCCATTGCGGGACGAGTTTCCGGATGAGCATCTCTTTTCCCTTACCCAATCTATTCCTTGGTATGCCGATATCGTTAACTTTTTGGTCACAAAAAGGTATCCCGACACATTCACGCGTGCTCAAAAGACAAGTTGAAAAGTGATGCAAAATACTATGTGTGGGATGAACCTTATTTGTGGAAACATTGTCCCGATCAAATCATTAGGCGATGTGTGCCCCAACAAGAGCACCAATCCATTTTGCAATTTGTCATGAATTTGCTTGTGGGGGACACTTCGGACCTAGCCGGACTTTGAGAAAAGTCCTTGAATGTGGATTATTTTGGCCAACCATGTCACGCGATAGTTATATGTTTTGCAAAAGTTGTGAGCGGTGCCAAAGGACGGGAAACATTTCGCAAAAGAACCAAATGCCCAAAATCCAATCCTTGTTTGTGAAATTTTTGACGTATGGGGGATTGATTTTATGGGCCCATTTCCCGTATCATTTGGCAACGTTTATATTTTACTCGCGGTTGACTATGTTTCTAAATGGGTTGAAGCCAAAGCCACAAGATCGGACGATGCCAAAACGGTTATCGAGTTTTTAAAGTCTAATGTTTTTGCGAGATTTGGTGTGCCTAGGGCTTTGATTAGTGATAGAGGGACGCACTTTTGCAACAAAATGATGGAGGCTCTATTGAAGAAGTATCACGTGACTCATCGTGTCTCCACTGCCTATCACCCTCAAACGAATGGTCAAGCGGAGGTCTCGAATCGTGAAGTGAAGTCTATTCTAGAGAAAACGGTGAATCCACAAAGAAGGATTGGAGTTTGAGACTTGACGATGCCTTATGGGCATATCGGACCGCTTATAAGACCCCGATTGGAATGTCGCCCTTCAGATTAGTTTTCGGAAAATCTTGTCATCTTCCCGTCGAGTTAGAGCACCGAGCATTTTGGGCGGTCAAGAAATGCAACTTCGACATTGACGAGGCTGGAAGGCATAGGAAACTTCAACTCCAAGAGCTAGAAGAATTGAGAAACGAATCCTATGAAAACGCAAGGATTTATAAGGAGAAAACGAAGCTCTTCCACGACAAGTCCATCACCCGGAAGAATTTTGAACCGGGACATAGGGTCTTACTTTACCATTCACGGTTGAAGTTATTCCCGGGCAAATTAAGATCAAGGTGGATTGGCCCATTTGTTGTAATAAAGACTTTTGACCATGGAGCGGTGGAAATCCAAAGTGAAGAAACGGGACATATTTTCAAAGTTAACGGGCACCGATTAAAGCCATTCTATGAAAGTTTTAATGCAAGTGTTATTGAAGTCATCCACTTGGATGTCCCGGAGTGTTGAACCAAGCTAGAAGGACGTCTCGCCTAAGACGTTAAAGAGAGGCATTTTTGGAAAAGCTTTATGCTTTCGTGTTTCTACGTTCGAATAAAGAAGTTTTGAAACGTCTTTTGAAGTCATTTTTGAAGAAATCAAGAGTTTCTAGGTGTTTGGGGCATTTAGGATCAAGAACTAGTGAAGAAACGGAAGAAAACAGAGAAAAATCGATTTCCGGGAGCAGGGTCTGCGCGACCCGCGCACGGGTGCGCGGCTGGTGTGCGCGGCCGGTCTTCAACTTGCAACAAAATCAGACACCAAACTGCATGATCTGCGCGACCCGCGCGCCCCCTCTGTGCGACCCGCGTGCTGCTTTGACGACTATCCCATATTTTGTTGACCAGCTTTGACTTTCGTTGACCAGGTGGTTTAATGAGTTGACCAACATTGACCAGGTGTTGACCACACTTGAATATGGATTAAAAACCTCCAGCAACTCTTCTTCTTCATTTCATTCTCTCAAAAACCCCCATTCTCTCTCAAACTCTCAAGAACACATAAACCCACTTTTCACAAAAATTTGATTTCCCGGAGTTCCACCGGTCGGAATACGACGAGACCACCACCATTCTTCACCATTTTCCGTGCTCTACAAACCCCACCTAAAGTTTACTCCGATCCATCGCCGGGTCTAGGGGCGCCACCACCACCCAACTCGCGCTTTCCGGCCATTTTCCGGCCAACTCCTACCACCTCTCGAATTCCGACACCACCAAAGTGTTTCTTTTTCAGGGATCTTTACATCTAACCAAACAAAACCTCAAAATCTCACCAAAAATTTTCCCATAATTTTTGAGCCACCACGAGCCGCCGCCGGATTTTTCACACAAATCAAGTTGAAAATATCCCTTCAATGAACAAGTCTTGCATTTAGGCACCACGAATAACCAAAGCTTGGGGTGCACGGTAGCGGATTCCGGGTTCAAGTTCAATTTTGGGATAATACGGGTATTCTCTTTCCTTGGTTTTTATTACATTGCATTGTTTCAATTCGTAATTGCATCCAATTATGCTTTGGAAATTGCCTAAGATCGTTAGTTGTTGCCCGGTTTATTTGGAAACATTGATTTGAGAAAGGTTGAGATTGGTTAATTTGCTTGGAAATTTGTTCAAAAATTGTTTAAACTTTGGTTGGGATTTTCTCATTTTGTCTCGTATTGCTGCCGAATTTTTGTTGGGATTATCAAATTAACCGAGTGTTGTTGTTGAAACCATTTTACATTGTCATAAGTTGGGTGTCATTATTTCTTGGATTTTTTTGTGTTCGGTCTAAAGATAGTTGCATTGATTTGAGAGTGGTGAGGTGAGGGATTACGTTGGTGAAGTTGTTTTTGATATTGTAGGTTTCGAAAATGGGCAAAACCACGGCTCGGACACGCACCCATGGATCATCGATCGATCCTAACCCGCAAAAGGATGTCGCCGGTCCATCACGCAAAGCAGCCGGTAAACGAAAAAAAAGAGGAGAAGAGGGAAGCGATCCTTCCCTTACAAATGCTGAGATCAAAACCTATCGCTCCAATCTTCGGGGTCGCGCAATCCGGCCGACAAAATTCTACCATAAAAAGTCCATGAAAAAGCTTGGGGTGCATGATGGTGTATACCATTTGTTCATAAAACTCGGTTGGCGTGGTTTTCTTCGACTTTGTGACAGAACTTACGAGGAACCCACAATGGAATTTCTTAGCACATATGCACGAGATGATGACACGAAGTCCTCACATTCCAGTTGAAAGGGGAGCATCATAGGCTCACATACGAAGAGCTTGATTCTATCATGGGTATAGACGATCCATTCCGCATCAGCCCCCAAAATCAAGAGTACCAAGATTTTCTGCGTTACCCTGATGCAAACTTTTGGATGCAAATTTCCGGTCTCGCAACCTTCAACCCAAGCCGACAGCGAGCCAAGCACATCGTTCACCCCTGTTGGCGAATTGCTCACCGAGTCCTTACGACGAGTATCTTCGGGCGTCTCGAGCCCGGTCAAATCAACAGATGTGAGCTATTTTTCCTCCGAAGCATGAGGCGTGCACTCCCCTCAGTTTTTCAGGCTTCTTTTTAGACAAATGTGACTCCATACGCCAACGTTCCTCAGGGGAAATTTTCATCGGGGGACTTATCACGATCATAGGTCGAGCCGTCGGCCTAGACTTCCCGGATCCCGAGTACATACCTGTCGACACCCCACCGAACTTCCTGCTAGATTGTGACACTCTCATCCGGATGGAGATGTTGCTCGATCGGGGAACCCGCACGTACAGTTGGTTAGACTCTGACAAAGCCCCGGTTTACATCCTGCCAAGTTGGATCGGTTCTTCATTCGATACAGGCGACCCCGACACTTGGCTTCCTCCAGATCAATTGACCCAAGCAGGTGTATTCCCAGAATTCGGTGATGATGAGGGTGACGACGCAGAGCAACAAGAGGAAGAAGATGACGAAGAGAACGACGAGATGCCCGAAGCTGAGGATCATTTTGACCAGCCCTCGATGCAGCAGCCGATGTTTCCGCATGATCAATTCCAGGCCCCTCCACACCATTTTGACCAGCCGCATCAGCAGGAAGGACACGAAGTCCCACCATATTTCCCCCCCACGTTCTTTGACCAATTTGCCACAATGTTCTCCACGGTGCAACGCATCGACGCCCAAACGCAAGAAAATTCGAGAGCCATCCTAGATGTGGCAAGCCGTGTTGATCGATTGGAGCAGTCCTCCTCTCACACTTCCCGCCAGGTCCAGGATATGTGGGACTACCACTATCGCCACGGACATTTCCCGCCGCCCGACCGCCCGATTTAGGTCCTTTCCGCCCTTTCCTCAAGCATTGAGGACAATGCTTGTTCTTAAGCTTGGGGTGGGGCATTTCATTTTCCTTTTATTTTTTTCATGCATTTTTAATTAGGTTGCATAACATTTTAGTTTTAAGCTAATCATCATTCATTTTTTTTTATTCCAAAAAGATTTTATTTTCTTCTTTTTCCACTTTTTATTTTTGCATAACATTTAGCTTAAGACATTAGCATTCATGCATTTTTGTTGTCTGTTTATTCTCACCTCTCTTGGATGCCATGGAACAGGTTCACAGTTATTGTATCATTATTGGTCCAGGATCTTGTTGCTATCTCACCCATCGAATCGGGACCACTAGCTGCAGTTTGGGATTTCATACTTGGGATCAGATGCTGGTAGCTTAAAGGGGTAAGTGATCATGGCCAGGTAGTTTCATGAAGAATTATGCATACAATACTAACAACTGTAGGATATACTATAGCAATGGGTGTTCTTAGCCTTGCGGTCACTACCGCGGAGAGGATCACACTTGATCATGTTTGAACTGTTAGGATGAAGCATTGGTGCTTGTCCCCGAGTAGAATCCATATCCGGTCTCTTTACATCACCATATCTTTTTGCGATTTTCTTAGAATTTAGAGAGTCTTTTAGTCCACATTTGGACATTTTCATTATCTTTGAAAAACCACAAGTTTGAAAAGGAGCTTACATTACATCTTTATGCTCCACACATGGTCATTTTCACACTTAGGCCATTCGGATTATATCATTACCCTTTCGGTTCCACCTACACACCTTTGGGAACCAAATTTTGAGTCAAAGGGTTTTCTCATCAAAAAAAAAAAAAAAAAAAAAAAAAAAAAAAAAAAAATGAAGCATGCAAATTTTCAGTTGCAACTATCTTAGATAGGTGGCCGGTTCAATTATTGAACAAATTTCCCAACATCTTGGTCACCCGACGTTTGATATTCATTTGTATAGGTCTGTTTTATTGTATATAGATCGAGTTGTTATTTTTTTTTCTTTCTCACAAATTGGTGATGTTAGAGAGACTGTCGAGTCGGATACTACGGGAGGTTTGGGCCAACACTAAGTGAACTGATTCCTACAACGGTGCCCGAGCGATTAAACCTAGTTACACATGAGAGAAACCGGCAGATGTGAGATCAGAGTGTGCACTTAAAGAAGAGCTCCACCCGAGCCCATCCAGTTGCTTTCTCCCTACTACAGATGTTCTTCATTGTATACATGTTCCATTGAGGCTGCGACTGCTCATCCCTCCTTACTCACCTAAAGGAGTTGTCCTGGCTGTGGTTTATGGTTCCATTGTCATCGGATGAAAAAGTTGTGAGATAGCAGCGAAATCAATTCTGACCATGTTGACTAACGTCGAACAGGTTCCATGGTTCTATCCATTCTTTTTATTTCTAGGGTAGTTCATCCCAAGTTCATTTAGTCTTGTCTTACTTGAGGACAAGTAAGGTTTAAGCTTGGGGTGATTTGATAGCTTCATTTTATTTACTTCTTTTTATAGTTTATTTTAGCATATTTCATTCATAATTTAGATAATTTCCATGCATATTTTCCTTTTTGTTATTTTATGACTATTTCGGGTACTCTCGAATCTTGTGAGCATAATTGCAGGTTTTCGGGTCTAGCGGAGCGGGAGTGTTCGGGACGTATAGGAGGCGATGAGATTTGGTAGACAAAAATGATGTTGGGCTTGATGGGTAGTGGCGATGATGCATGGAGTGATCTTGATGATTATTTGAAGACTTGGAGAGAAATAAACTTTAAATTTGCAAGATGCGGGGGAATATTCAAGCGTACGTAAATTATTAATCGGGCGAATTCACGAGCTTTGGAGGATTTGGAGAGGTCAAATTGGGCTTAAAATGAAGAAAAACTTGAAGAAAATGGGCTAGGAGGTGATTGGATTCGATCTGGGCCAAGTGGGCTAAGCTATGGAGGCCCAAAACCTCAAAGATGCTACATCCAGGGACCACCCGCGCAAGAGCACGCGGGTCGCGCAACCTCCTGCAGGGGCAATTTCGGAAATTCTTCTTTTGAGCTATTTGAGGAAGGTTGGTGCCCATCTTTTGCATACTCTTGGACATCCGATTTTTGAAGATTCTCTCTGGAGTTTTGAGACTTTTGAAGGCCAAGAACCCTTGAAGAACATCATATTTTTACCTCTTGATTCTTGCTTAATGTTTGGTACAAATTTCTCTAACTTTGTTTCTTTGGGTTTAGCCATGCTTGGCTAAGCTAATCTTGGTTGACTTTTGGTTAATCCTTTGAACTTTTGTTGAATGTTGAAGAATCCATGAACATGTTCTTGAATCTTTATGGAAATGTTTTGTGTTTTAACATCTTATCATTACTTGTATGTTTTAGTTCATGAGTTTAAATGTGTTTGTGGTGATTAGTTGGCTAATTTCTTGATTAAGTAAAGGATCCTCAAATTAGCAAGCAACAAATGATTTTTGTGTTGTTTTTGCTTCACACAATCATAAAAACATTTCCTCCAACATGGTGGTGAAAGCATTTGACCCCTCTTGGATTTGGTGACTTTTTGGTTCTTAATGCTAGTTGACTTTCACTAATTACATGCTATTTGGAATTAGTGACTTTGACTAAGGAAATTGTTATGAGCTTCTCTAGCCATTTCAACAATTAAGAAAAGTCTAGGTAATCTCAAGCTCCTTGGATTACTATAGCCAAATTGAGGATTAAAAACAAGTATTGCACCATTGAATTCTAATGATATGTTCATCAAAAGTCAAAGTGAGAAAACTTTAAGTCAACCATCTTTCCCTTATTGATTTTACATCAAATTCTTATTTTTGTTGCAATTGTCTATTTAAATCATAGTTAATTCTAGTTTGTTTCAAGTATTTCAAAACATCAAAACCCCCATTTTTAATTTATTGTCATATTCCAAGTATTTTACAAAGAGATTTTTCATAGAGTTATCAAATTGAACCAGTCTCCGTGGATTCGATCCCTATACCACTATACACTATTTTAGTGTGTAATATTTAGGGTTATTATTTGTGTTGGCCTCGACAACCACCATGGCTGAATGTTGAAATATTGATTCAACATTGGAAACGTTGGTCATGATGGTGGTGATATATATATCTAGGATTTATAAACAGAAACTGCAGGATTTAGGGAGATGTCTAGATAAGTAATGAACCAAGTCAAAACAACTACTCCTTATCCTTATCCTTGACTTTTTCAATGGTCAAGCAAATCAGTTCAATGCATAAAGTGGTTGTAAATGTTGTTTTAAGGGGTGTACCTCTTAAAATTCAACATTTGAGGGTAAATGCCTTTTAAGGCATTTATATATATATATATATATATATATATATATATATATATATATATATATATATATATATATATCGTTCTTAATAAATAAAGAACTTTTTGCCACATGTCCTCTTCTCATTTATTTGGACATATGACTTTTTCTAAAACAATTGAATTTTTATTTTCCACTTGTCATTTTATTGTATTTTTCATTTTATTAAATTAAAATTTTATATTTAATATGTATGGTAATATATATATATATATATATATATATATATATATATTTATATATATATATATATATATATATATATAAGGTATTTATTAAAAAAGGTTTATATATATATAATGTATTCAATACATTAAAGCCTCATTAATGTTAATAATTCAAAATTTTTCTCATTTTTCTAATAAATTCAAACTTTTCATATTGTTAAAATTTCATATTTAATTTTTTTTTAAATAAACCCATGTAATAAATGCATTTCACACCTAGTGTGTATATATATATATATATATATATATATATATATATATATATATATATATATATATATATATATATAGAGAGAGAGAGAGAGAGAGAGAGAGGGTTCACTTGAGAAAAAAAATATTAAGAATGGGGGAATAATTTTCAGCCAATCATTTAATTAGCATCTTAACATCAAATACACGGTGACACACTTGTAAATATGATATGATATCCTTCAATCACAGATACGTAACTGTAGATAATTTGATAACAATTCAAATTCATTAGTACTCGATCTTCATCCTCCAAATTTGTTCTCCAACCTTCAACGATTATCCATATTTCTTCAATTAAATCCTCGATCAACATCATCTAGTGTTAATCAATCATCCATCCTCTTCAAAAACACGTTCATTAACATCATTCAAAATTAGACAAAAAAAATCGGTTTTGCTTCTTTCAATCCAACCCTCAGTTATGCTTGAATACGATCATATCTTGAACATCTATGATTAATTATACTCCCAGTATCATTAGTCAACATCATCGATAATCAACAATAGTTTCAATTCATATCATTCATTCAACATCGATTATCAAACAAAACTTCGAAATTAATGTTAGAAAAACATCAAATCTTTTTTTTTTTTTTGAAAAATTTCATATAATTCTCTATCAATCTACTATTTTATAAGTTTTAAATAGTCGAAGTATCATGGTTTTAGCATTTTTAATAAAGTTTACTTGTATGCACTTCAACTGTTTGATGAAATGCATAAACTAAATTACCACGTTATATTCAAATATGAATATGTTTTCGGATCTTAATCAACATATGATTATTAAAACACAAAACAAATATACATTTTTATATGTTATTCATATGTGAATAACATATAAAAATTATATATATTTGTGAATATACCTTGTAATATTCATATGTTAATATCCTATGTAATATTAATATGTGAATAAATTGTGCAATATTCACATATGAATATACCATCTAATATTCATAAGTGAAGATATCATCTAATACTTACAAGTAAAAATACAATGTAATATTCACAAGTGAATGCATCGTTTAATATTTAAATATGAATATACTGTATCATATTCACAAGTGTATATACTATATATTATTCATATGTGAATCTACTATGTAATATTCATGAATGAATATAGCATGCAATATTTAGATATGACTAGAATGTGTAATATTCACAAGTAAATATACCATATAATAATCACATGTGAATCTACCATAGAATATTCATATGTGAATATACTATGTAATATTCATTTGTGAATATACCATGTAAGATCACGTGTAAATATACAATATAAACAACATATATAAAATAATATTCACATATGATTATACATTCATGTGTGAATATACCATTTGATAATTAGAATGTGATAAATCGCTATTATTATGAACTAAAAATATATTTTTAATATTTTTTTTATATGTATTCACATGTTTTTCAGGTATCGTTATAACTCAATAAAAGAATAACAATTCAATCAATGGTTGGTTCATATCCCGGTGGTTGACGATTGGTTAACGTAATTGAGAAAATATCATTGACGAAGACAATAAGTTTTTATATTCACATGTAAATGTTATACAATTTAATATATTCTTTATTTTGATCACGTTAAATTCAAATGCATATGATATTAATTAACCAATACAATGTTGTTTGTCTTAGTATAATGTTGATTTTATATGTAAAATAATATTGTTACAATATACAAAAAAACTATTCACAAACCAATTCTTTTAGTGTATTATTTATTTTTATATATAAAGGTTGTATTTATAAAATAAATAAATCAATGTATAGTTTATTCACATAAATATGTGGTAATGATTTCTAAACTTTATTCATATATGAATAAATAACATGTCATGATGTTGTCATCAATAGTAGGAATGAAAATTTAGTGACATCATCAAAACAATTTGCCGCAATGAAGTTTAGTTTCGGAATTGGACGAAATTCGTATATTTGATGTAAAATGGTGCGATTTATAAAATTCACAGCTTCGCCGTGACGTACGGTGTTTTTTGGCCATTTGGGTCTGTTTAGGGCCTCAAAATGATATTTTTCTATTTTTATAATTTTCCGAAAAAAAGTTATCATTTATTAACAAATGAATAACCTAAAAAGATTAGTTGTATGTGAATAAATATATCTTCTTATCAAATACTTTTTTATCTTTAATTTTATAAATTTTGTAGTCCTCGATTTTATTGACACTTTTATTCATTTGTGAATAATACATATATATTCACATTTGATTATTACATATATATATACATATATATATATATATATATATATATATACACACACACACACACATTTGTGAATATTACATATGTTTACATGCGGATATAATTCTTATATGTTATTCACATATGAATTACAAACTTGCTTAGAATCTTAAAACAATGTAATTTTTTTTTCAAAAAAAAAGACATTATCATTTATGAATATTACCTGTATTCATTTGTGAATATTACATGTATTCGCATGTGAAAATAACTTTTATATGTTATTCACATATAATTACATAGTTGCTCTGTATTTTTAAAAGAAATACATTGATTATCGTGTAAAGGCATATTCACTTGTGAATATTACGTGCTATATTTAGTTTATGCATTTCATTGAACAGTTGGCGTGCAAATAAATTAACTTATATAATTATGTTAAAAAAATGACAATTAAAGCCAATAGTTACAGCACAAATCAAATCCTATCAAAATTGATCAATAATCAGTAGGTTTAGATCAAAAAATTGTGAATCTTTTTATGAAAAACAAAGTTTTTCAACTCTGAAAAGCGATTAAAAAAAATCTTCAAATATATGGTTATGTTGATGTACTTTCGATTGTTATTTATTTTTTAATATTGGTGAAGGTTCGATTGATGAAGTTTTGATGACCGATGACCTCAAAATGATGTAACATCGATAAATATGGATTATGTTTATCGATTTTGCTTGACATCAACGAAATTGGACAAGATTGAATCATGACTTACACTTAATAGTACAAATAAATGCTTTTGATGATGAATCATAACATTTTGATGAAATAATGAAGATTTTTTTATAAAGAATTGATGTTTTATGAAACGTCGATGTTTTTTGACGATGAACATGTAACATTGATGTTTTTTTGATTAATAACAAATGACGTTGATGAAGAACAGATGATATTGATGGAGAACAGATGATGTAGATGGAGAAGATATGATGTTGATGAAGAACAGAGGAACGATCCAGATGAATGAATAACAAATGGTGTTGATGAAGAACGAATGAACAATTCAGAAAACAACTAGTCTATAATGACTTAATCTAAATGTGTTTATATGCATAAAAATGATTGTCTGAGAATAATTCTCTCATTTTTAACCTTTTAATATTTTTCTCAATTGAACTTATATCTCTCTTATATATATATATATATATATATATATATATATATATATATATATATATATATATATATATAAATTCAACCTATTATGGACATGTAATTAATATGATTGATGTATATATTCAGTGTTAAGGGTATTCGGAAATAGAAAATATAATGGTTTATATCTATGAGTGGTTGTATTACAGCTTATAATACAATGTCAAATGTTTGTCCTTGTTAGGAGCTGACCCACTTTAATTATGCTCAAATCAAACAATGCTTAAGTTGAAGTAAATAAATCAAGGTGTATGCATGTGTTGCTGAATACAAATGGTAAGATTTTAAAATTCTACTAAATATACTCATTTACTACTGGATCATCAAGAAATCCAGTTCAATTTATGATCAGATCAGAATCATATTAGCTGTTCTGAAACTTAATTAATTTTGGAATCTAAAGTAGCAAATTTTGTTAAAGTAAACTGTTAGCATTCATAAAATGTTAATTACTATAATATTGATGGTAAAAGACTAACGGTGTATATCTTTTTAGAGAAATTAAATATCCTCCTACATTTTTTTCGTATTTATCATCCTACCAATGTGAAATGGTGATATATGTCATATTTAGATAAAATTAATAATATTTTAATACACTTCTCATCATTGGTAGGAATATATATATATATATATATATATATATATATATATATATATATATATATATATATATATATAAAAAGAAGAAAAGGAGAAAACTATTTAATTTCTCATCTTTTTATTACTGTTCTTAGTGGTTATATGACAAGATTCAACCGACTCTACACTCCATTTGTGTTTTTCTGTGAACCAAATTCCAGAGAAATAAAGGAAAAAATTAATGAAAAAAAACACACACAAAACCACACCTCCTTTTTCTTGTTTCCTGCAGTTAATTTTCTGTTTTCTGCAGCTTTAGAACTGCATTGTTTCTGTTTTACAAAAACTGCTATGACAATTTTCTGCAATTTAGACCAACATTCTTTTTGCTGTTTTCTATTAGTTTTCTGACTTTTTTTTTTGAGAAAAAAAATATCTGCAGCTTTATTTCGCACCATCACCCTGTCATGCTTATATCTATTTAGTTATGTGTTGACTCTTTTACACTTATCTGTGATGTATTGAAACCCTTTTTTCCATTTTTCTCTGACTCCGGTCGAGCTTAAAGTACTCACTGCCCTAGTGCCCATTCTCTCTCTCTTTCACTCACCGTTTCTCTAGAAAATGGAAGGAAAGTGCTCGAACAAAGGGGAATGTGAACGGAAGGGCAAAGCTATTTCTTCTGATGATGTTGAGGGTACAATCATCTCTGCGAAAAAGAAAGGATCAGAAAACAAGTACCCAAAAGGGAAAGAAATGGCAGAGGGCTCATCCTGGGATTCCCAAGAAAAAATACCCGAAGGTCATCCTTCTCCTGTTGCTGTACCAGATCCTGGCGTCGAGAATGTGTCCGAACATGCTTCTTCTGCAAACGTTTCCAGCCTACCACCGGTGGCGGATGAATCTCCTTTGGTGCCCAAAATGAATACCGACTTCCCATGCAGATACTGCACAAGACGATTCCCCTCTGCCCAGGGATTGGGTGGTCACCAGAACTCCCACAAGAAAGAGCGGGAGCGTTCCAAGAGACGAAGAATGCATGGTTACATGCTACATTCCTCCCCAAGCCTCGTAGACGCTCCTATTTACCCTGATTACAGCATATTTTCCAATGGTGTATCCCTCGGGTATCCTCAGCTTTCTCTCCGTCAAGCCAACACTTTTACACTCGCAAGGCCATCATCACATTCACAGGGGCACCCTTACTCCCCCTCTTTGCCTTTTTCTCCAAACACCAAATACCCACAATCAACTACTGGGTTGAATTTAGGAGAATTTGGTCAACCCTCTAATATGTGGTTTAACTGTAATCAATTGTCAGGTTATGACAGGTTTACCACGATTGGCGCCCACCCTGGGAACAATGATAATGACAATCAAGCTAGTGGTAATACGAGGAGTGATTTTAACTCTCTTGGAATGGAACACAACGAAGGTGGCAACCTAGCCGGAGGTTTCCTAACAGTAAAGGAGAATACCTGTTTGGTTGCTTCTGGATTTGAAGCTGGAGGCACCAGTAGCGGGGATAGAAATTTCCTTGGGGTTTCTCAAGGAGAAAGTACTGTGAGTCATGAAATCCAGGATACTATTAAAGGGTACGAAGAAGAAGAGAGTGATGGTACTATTGATCTTCTTTCACGGGTTGGGATGGGTAACACAGAAGATGCAGATGCAGAACTCAATGCTGATTGTGTCAACCAATTAACTAGAATGTGGATGATGGTGTAACGTGCGGAGAACTGAGTGTTTAAGTGTGTTGTAACATCTAGCACCTCGATAGTTTTTTCTCAATAAATTTCATGATGTTAAAAAAATAAAAAAAATAATAAAAATAAAAACCAGATGATGTATCAGTTGTCCATCATCTTTTGTCAAAGGTTGGGGTGCTCAATATGATGATCATCGTCCGTTCTACATTGAGTTTTGAATCTATTTCTAATGATGTTAGTTTGGTTAATTATTGATTTCTTTGATTATTCTCTAATCTTGTTCGTCTATCCTTTTAAGCTTTGAGGATCATGTTGTATGGATTTATCTATTTATGTTGTGCATGAAGCTTTTTTACTTTCAAGTATGAGGTCTTTTGCGATTCATTTGTATAAATGGTGTAGAGATTCTCATAAATTTTAAAACATTGTATTTTACTTTTTCATTTGTTTTCTTCAACCCTTTACTGACATAAGTCTTACATCAATGTTATTATAATTTTTGTTTTATACAATTGCTGTTTTTCTATGTATAAACTATTTATATTGAAAGATTATAATCAAAATTGGTGTATCACTTTTAACATATTAAACAACTACAGAGATCTCATTAACATCTTGAGATTGATATACAATTAATACACTACAAGAATTTATGTTTGTGCCAACGACACCTATACCGACGAAAAGTGTTGTCGGTAAAAATAAGGCTATCCAAATGACTTATCTGCGGCATAGAGTTTACCCAATTACGTTGACTTCAAAATCTTTCTTGACGGCTTGTCGTCTGCACATGTAATGCGCGAAATAAAAATAATTCCCAGGTTTCTGAAAATGTATACCAATGACTTGTTGTCGGTATGGGTGTTGAAAAATATCATTTCTCTTTTCTACATTACCTTGCAGGATGATGTAACATAAGGTCTGTCTTCCATCTTTCACTCTAGGGTTAGTTCTTCTAAGGCTAGTAGATTGACCTGAAGACTACAAACAAACAGTAAGCAAGTCGGCTAGGAGGGGATTCCGGACGGCTCTTCGAATGTTAAGTTAGCGAGATGCTATGTTATCAATCGATTATACAATAGAGTTAAGAGTGGTTTCTACGTACTTTCCTTTTTGACGAGTCGGGCTGTCTATTTATAGTGATACATGAAGAAGTAGCGAGTTCTTCCCATATCGACCATGAGATGCCATCTTATCGCATTTATGACATTATGCTCGAAGGTACGACTATCGATACTATATTTTCCTTGACACAGTTGTCATGTGGCTAAGCCAAGATCTACCAGCCACGTATCCTCGTACAGGCTGTATTCTCATAGTTTCAAGGTACTGCCACTACTGTTTTGATGTCACTTTGTACCTTCTCTCCATTCTTTCCTTTCTTTTCAAGTTGTCATGCTTGTTCGGTATGTAAACGAGCAACTTCAGGACGGGTAACTTCGAGGGACTTTCCAACATAGTGGTTTGGTATGTTTGGAAAGGATAAATGTATTTTAGGGCTATATCTTATTAAGCCCCCAGTTTGTATCTCTACGTAGTCGATGGAGTAGGGATGCAAACTTTTGAAGAAACTACATTATAGCCGTTACAATCGGATAGGGGCGAAATACTCATGAATTAACTCCGACATGATGTGTTGACGGTTATGCCAACCCTAATGATGATCCCTATAACCCTCTTTTCACCCACCTTTTCTTTAATAGGGTTACAACATCTACGAACCACATTGGTTGGTCGTTAATCTTCATACGTTCTAGACTTACTATAAATACTTGGTATTGAATCACCTATTTCACCATTTTCTATTTCAATTAGAGTCAGTTTCCTTCTTTTGTCAACTTTTTCTCTTGTTTTCTTCTTCTTTACTGAACATGGCGAGCATTGGGATTTCTCACATTGGGATGCTGGCGAGCACTAGGATTTCTCACATTAGGACGGTGAAATCCAAATTGACTATTCAAACCATATATATGCTCATTCAGAAGTATAATAGTTATCCTAAGTTCAATCCTCGTCTGCCAGAGGCCAACGATGCCATTACTGACGCCCCAGAAGGCTTCGTGGGGGTTTACCGAGTATTCTTCAAATCTGGGTTGCATCTTCCTGCTTTTGATTTTCTCAAAACAGTTTTAGATTACTATGGTCTGCACATCGCCCAAATAACCCCTAACATATTTCACAAGATTCTTTTCTTGACCCTGTTATGCGTCGCTCTGGATGTTTCGTCAGCCATCAATATATTTTGCCACTTTTATATTCTGATGTCCAATGGAGATTGGGTCTCTTTCTCCATTTGTGATGGTTTGGTGGATATTTGTGACGGTCTTCCAACCTCCATGAAGTATTGGAAGTAGGATTTCTTTTTGTTGATTCCTCTTCCTTCTCCGGCCCATGACATACGATGCTACTGCTGATAGGGTCGCCGACCCGGTCTCGAAACTATCACCCGATGAGTGATTGATAATAGAAAGTTATCGGATAATTTTGTTCGATGGGCAGACCTCGAAAAAGCGATGTCGGGTATGGACGACATGAGTCCCCATTGGAACCGTTTGGGTAAGAAGCCAGTTGAGGTGTTTGAGGAAAAAAACATAACCCTTCTTAACTAACTTCACTAGAAATGAATTGCAAACTCCACCCGAGTGACAGAGAGGTGATGTCATCAGATTCCCTAACTAGCTTAAAGTCTAGCATGGACCTTACCCTAGATGTTTCTCAGTTAGAAGGTTCTAGATCTATTCCTCCTAATCTTCATTCGAAGGTTGTGAAATTGGATTTTGATTGTGGCAAACCTCCCATAGTGTTTACAAGGGCTACCTCAAAAGGGTTCATCTTAAAAAGCGTTGTAAGAGTGCTCAAGATGATCAACTCATCAAGATGTCTCCCCCCTAAACGAACACGTTCTGGTCGTGAATCAAGAAGCCGAAGTCTGAATGATCTATTTGACCCTCCGGCTCCCAATGTTACAAGATCTGAGTGTACCTCAGAGAATCTTAATACTAATGTTTTTCAAGAATGTCCAATCGAACCGGACAGCAAAATAAAGTGTGTGGAGGATGAGGCAGAAGTGTCTCATTTGGACAAATCAGAATCAGAGACCGTTACCGGAGGCCTCCCAGAAAAGATCCCTGATAACCCCCTTTTAGAGAAGGAAGACCCCAAAGGCCTGTCTGTTGTGGCATTGTTCCATCAGAAACTCTTCGGATCTGGACATGGTCGTTTTATGGCATCGGCCACCAATTCTTTGGTAGTTATATCTATTCCCATTCCATACGATACCATAATTGTGACAACCCGTAATTTATTCCGTCACTGTAACCCGTTCCCATTAATAAAACCGTTCGTATTCTAATTTTTCCGTTAACTTTTGGGTTAAATTAATTAGAATGGGGACCTCTTATTATGGCCTCATAAGTGTCCAAACCCATTAGAAAAGCGTAAAAATTACCCTCGTTATTTATTTGGAATATTTTTATTTACGACTAAGTCGTAATTACGGCAAATTAATCGGGTACAATTTTAAACCCCGTTTAACGTCGGTATCGGGTAGATTTCCACCGGGTCTCAAGCCCATCCCCTATATAATGGATGAGTGGACATCTTTGAAGACTTTTACCCACTTTCACTACTTTCTCTCTCTACTCTCTCTCTAAAACTCGAAATTTAGCCAAAAACTCCACTTTCAAGCTTCAATTTGGTAAGTAATCTATCCTAGCATGTTTCTAAGCTTGTTTATCTAGCAAATCTATGTTTAAACTACCCAAAATCATCAAGAACATGTGTTTACGGTTTAAGAACACCTCCCAAAACCGTAAACTCCATTAAGGGGGTTTTGAAGCCCCAAAACCCTTCTAAGTCCCTTCTACTACTTAGATATGGCTTAAGGACTTGCATGCACGAGATTTGAACAAAAAAATCATGTTATTTGGGTAGTAAACATGAGTTTATGGTCCAATAACATTCTTGAACCGTAAACACATATTCATGAACCTTAAACACCTTTTAAGGTGCTAAATTGCCCCTTAAACACCTCCAAAGGCTTCCATGAGTCCCTAGAACCTTGTACTCATTCATTTGATGCACCAAAACATATAGAAATGAGTCATACTTGAGTTTATGGTTTGTAAAGGTCTCCCAAAACCGTAAACACCTTCAATGGGGTGTTTAAGTGCCCTGAACACCTTGTATGACTTAGATTTGGGTCTAGAAACTTGTATGCTTAACCAACAACCACCGAAACACATGATTCATGGACAAACATGAGTTTACGGCTGTAAGCTCATGTGTTTACGGTAGTAAACTCCCCAAGTGCCATTCAATGACCGTAAACTCCTTTTCCAAGGTCAATTCAAGTCCCGATCACTTCCTAAACCATGGAATCAACCCTAGAACCTTCCTTTGTGCATTGTAAGGCCTTTAAACATCCAAGAACACACCATCCATGAGTTTACGGCCGTAAACTCATGGGTACATGGTCTTTGGACCGTAAACACCTCTAACGGCTTACTCTTGAAGAGTAAACTCTTTATCTAGGCCCTACACACCCTTAGATGCTACCCGGGTCACTCCTAACACTTGAAATAAAGTGTTTTCGCATCTCGGAATATATTGTCTTACTTATTTGGTAGTTCAAAGTCTAATTAGATAAAATTATGTATCTCTTCATATTACATAGGAACCTTGCGTGTATTCAAGCCCCGAACTGACACTTAGCATTCAACCGACACGTTTCTCGTCTGGTGAGTTCATACCCCTACGTTTTTTCCATGTTTTCAATGTTTTCAGGGGGGGGGGGGATACAAGCAAAAGTACAAGAATATCTTGTACTTAAAATCATTATTTCATTTGAAATGTTTCATACTTCATATACTTTTAACACTGGAAACCAGATTAACCAACTGTTTGACTTGCAGAGTTAGTTTTCAAATTAATTGCAAACCTGATTATACAGTGTTATGTTGTATATTTCACCAATGGTTTTTCCACTTCATTTATGATAAAATCATTAACCTAGAACATTAGAACATGTCCTCGGTAACACTCCATAGAGATACGCGAGTGGAGGACCCCCGTTGTAACCAGAATCACAAACAGGATTTTCCGCATTATTACTTGTAAATTTGTTAATATTAATAATTGGAGACACATCCTCGGAAACACTTCACAGAGATTCGCAAGTGGAGGACCTCCCCCGTAACCAGAATCTCTTGGAGGGAGAGCGTGACTTGAGTGTATAGATCTATACGGGATTGACAACCCCGCAACTGGCTGCTAGCTACAGTCAAACCGAAAGGTTCAAGGGTGACGAAAGTCATAAAATGATAATGGACTACTTATTGCCATATATAGTCTATCGTATGGTTATGGAACTTGCAATTTAGATAACAGAGATTTACTAGTTGATAATAATGGATCTAGTAAACTAATAACCGTATGAATTAGTTTACTTTTCACACAATAGTTTTATATATGTGTTAAAACTATCATACATTTCAAGGATAACCAGGTTTTCAGGAAATATCACACAAACATTTTAAGTATGGCAGATACTTGTACCTTACATTCAGAACCAATAACCGATTACATACTTTTAAGGAAAATAAGGGTTTTCCTTGGGATAACAAACTGTACATAACCAGATCGTGTAACAAACGGATAATTAAACTTTACTTATAAGAAAATATGGAATTTTCTTGGATAACCACTTTTTCATAAACCAAAGGAAACTTGTTCATTTTTAGAAAACAAACCTCTTATGAACTCACTAGCTTTATGCTGATTTTCAAACTGCTTGTATTCTCAGGTCCACATTAGACAGGTACTCGTGATCTTTTGGAGAAGACGGAGCGTATAGAAGTCACGTCTTTACTTTTGTTCAAACTATTGTATAGATAAACATGTATCACTTTACTTTCAAACAAATGTAATTATTCCTATGTAATGTAATGTTTTGTATTTACTATGCTTATTATGTACATTGGTTGTGATACTTTACATGACGTCCTCCGCCCCGGAACATTTCCGCCATCGGTTTCAGGGTGTGACAGATTGGTATCAGAACCCTTGTTTATAGTGAACTAGTATACCAAACCTTACATGGTATTAGACTATAAACAATAAGGAGCCAAAGTGCTCTGAACTAAAAGTATACTTTAAAATATAAGTATTTTCAAAAGTTTACAAGTATACCTAACCGCCAGGAACCATAACTACGAGTAGAACAAAACATAAGTAATTGGGTGTTGTATGCTGCGGTTAAACCTGGGCAGTTATGTAGTCGTCTATAGGGTCAATATAGCCTGATCAACTATAGTCATTCGAGACACGGCCAACATGTGCTTGGGAGTGACTGTGGTGTGGAGCATGCCTAAAACTTACCTAAGATCCAAACAATGATTCATCGTTGCAGCGAAACATAAGATACTATGGGAGTATCTTAGTCAGAGCCGAGTACTTTGTAGAAATTCATTCAGAGTGATGCTACTCCTTCTTTCCTTAGCGATAATTTATCTGTTTTAATAACTCTTTCCTGTTTTATCGCTTACTAGAACTTTATATCTGTTATAATGAGATATTTCTTGTTCCATATCTCTTGATTCAATTCAGAGGACTTATGATCCTTTCTTTCCTGGCTATTATAGATCAAGATGCATCCTAAGAAAAGCCCCAGGTCAAAGAACAACAATCCTCCTCCTCCACCACCTCCCTCTCCATTTGATCCTGCCATGTTTCAAGCAGCTGTTAATGCTGCTGTGGCTGCTACCATATTGCAAATGAACCTCGTTGGTTCAGGCGGGCCAGGAGGTGGTCCTCAGCCTCAAAACCTAGAAAGTAGCCAGGGACACCAGAAGGAGTGTTCTTACAAGGACTTCATGAACACGAAACCCACACCTTTCAATGGCATTGGAGGTGTCATCACCCTAACCCGATGGTTCGAGAAGATCTAATCTATCTTTGAAATCTGTGTCTGTTCAGAATCCGATAAGGTGAAGTTTGCCGCTTGCACCTTCATTGACAAAGCCCTGACTTGGTGGAACGGCTGAGTCAAATACTTAACTTTACATGTAGCCAATGCTATGGGTTGGGAGGTTCTGAAAGAGCTTCTGCTTGCGGAGTACTGCCCTCGGGGCGAAATGCAGAAACTGGAACATGAAATCTGGAACCTAAAGATGAAGGGTTCCGATATCGCTGCTTACACTTCAAGATTCGATGATTTTTGCGCTCCTCTGTCCGGGAATTGTTACCCCGGAGAGTAAAAAGATTGAGAGATTTATCTGGGGGCTGACCCAGCCAACCAAGGGAAACATCTTGGCTGCAAAGCCAGACACATACGACAGTGCCAAATGCCTGGCACAAACCTTGATCAACCATAGAGATGACATTGAGGAAGCAACCACCACTCCGGAACCGACGAAGAGGAGTGGTGAGAAAAGGAAATTCTGGAAGAAGAAGAAGGGTCAGACTTCCCAAGAGTCTTCAAAGAAACATCAAACTGTGGCAGTCCACGCTGCTACGATCCCTGCTGCTGTTTCTACCGTTGGATCCACAACCCAAACACCTACGAGTAGGTATGTTGGTACCCTCCCTCTCTGTGACAAGTGTAAGTTCCACCATAACCCCGACCCCTGCCGCGATCTGTCATGCTCCAACTGCGGTAAAAAGGGGCGTACAGTTCGATTCTGCAAAGCCCCAACTCAATCAACAAATCAATCTTTCGGAGCGGGTGTCGGTCAGGCCTCCTACGGGTGTGGGGAAGTAGGGAATTTCAAGAGGAACTGTCCCAAGGAAGCTACAACGGGTAACAATGGGAGAGTCCTAGCTATGGGACGAGAAGTAGCAGTCGCCGATCCCACCATTGTCTCGGGTACATTCCTTCTCGACAACTCTTATGCCAGTATCCTTTTCGATTCTGGTGCTGAACGAAGTTTTTTTTAGTCATTCATTCAAACATTTTCTTAAACGTAATCCCTAACCATTAACCGAAACATTTACCATTGAAATGGCTAACGGTGAGAAAGAAAATGCTAACGACATATTCATAGGCTGTACCCTTACCTGAACGATCATTCCTTTCCCATTAACCTAATGCCAGTTTCCATAAAGAGCTTTGATGTTATTATTGGCATGGATTGGTTGAGTCCCAATCATGCTAATATCCTTTGTTATGAAAAATCCATCCGTCTCAATCTCCCCTCCAGTCAAACTCTCATGATCTATGGAGATAAACTCAATTCCAATCTTCGTATCATTTCCTGCATTAAAGCTCAGAAGCTCTTGTGAAAGGAATGCCATGCATTCCTAGATCATGTAATCAACGATAAACAGGAAGTTAAGGACCTCGAGAGTGTCCCC